TAGAGACTCAGAAAGAACTAGAAAACTGCCTGGTTTCCCAATCCTCTCCCCTCATATACCACCCTCTTTCAAGATGATGTAAAAGTGTTCTCCATCTCACAACGTGCTAAAAGTGAGGGGTTAAGCACTCTGATTTCACGGAACTGCTTTGCCTGTATCACAAATAAAGGGAGCTGAGACTGGAGGAAGTATCTTAGTAGAATAAATCTTGTAAACTGTCAAGACTTCACAAGATAATCCCCCCCTTAACTAACAGAGCTGACCAAAATCACATGGAGGTAGCGTACGGTCAACCTATGTAGTGAAAAACACTCTCACTTCCCCCCATTTCTTGACCACTGTGTTGTCTACTCCTTCAGCCATCCACAACCTCTGTATATACAGCACAGTAAAAGCAGCAAGGCGGCCATCAGGCCTCTCAGCTGGCTTTCATTCCTTACTCTGTCCATAAGAAATCTAGAATTGTAACCCCGTGTTCCACATCACCCACTACTGAGATGCCGCTCACTATCACTCAAAACTCTGCAATCAGTTTATCTAGAAATGCCCTAATTTCGCGATCATATTTGAGAGACAGTTTTGCTGGATACATGATTCTTGGCTGGCAGTTTTTTTTCCTTCAAGGCTTTATATGCCATCCCATTGCCTTCTTGCCTGCACGGTTTCTGCTGAGTAGTCCAAGCTTATTCTTATTGACTCTCCTTTGTAGACGACTTTTCATTTATCCCTAGCCACTCTTAAAATTCTCACTTTATCTTTGGTTTTGGCAAGTTTGATTATGTCTTGGTGACGTTCTTTTGGGATCTACCTTATGTGGGGTTCAATGAGCATCTTGGATAGATATCTTGTCATCTTTCACAGTATCAGGAAAGTTTTCTGCCACAAATCCAACAATTCTCTCTGTATTTTCTGTTATGCCCCCCTGTTCTGGTACTCCAGTCACTCGTAAGTTATTCCTCTTGATACAGTCCCACATAATTCTTAGGGCTTCTTCATTTTTTTTTTATCCCTTGTATCTGATTTTTCCTCAAATAAGTTGGTGTCAAGTGCTTTATCTTCAGTCTCACTAATTCTGACTTCCATTGCCTCAATTCTGCTTCTGTGAGTTTCTGCTGAGTTGTCTAATTCTGGAATTTTATTGTTAATCTTCTGGATTTCTCATTGCTGTCTCTCTATGGATTCTTGCAGCCTGTTAAATTTGTCATTATGCTCTTCTCTCATCTTTTTAATTTCCTCTATTGCGTGTTCTGCGTTTTGCTTAATTTCCATCCTAATCTCTTGAAGAATTCTGTATATTAATCTTTTGTATTCTGCCTCTGGTAATTCCAGGAAATTTTCTTCCTCTGGAAAATTCCTAGATTCTTTATTTTGGGAGCTCGCTGAAGCCATCACGGATTGCCTCTTGATGTGATTTGATACTGTCTCCGAGCCATCAATAAGTTATCATATTTATTTATGTTTTCTTACTGTGTCCTAGCTTCTTGTTTTGTTTTGACATGCCCAAATAGGCTGCTCGTATGAACCAGTTTGCTTATTGGCACCTTTGAAGCTCTAATGTCCTGTCACCAGGTGGTTAGATCTGTTACTAGGTATGTGAGCTCAGAAGTCCACCCACTCTTCCTGTACGGATTCAGCTCAGGTGCCCAGGAAGATAGCCACCAAGCGTGTGGTGTAGGCTCTCACTTACAGTCCTAGACAGGCATGGGTGATTGGTGTAGGCACAGGCATCTGGCTGCAGCAGGGAGACACACTGTGAGCAAGGCAGGGGGCTGACAGCCACCCGAGTGTCCAGGAGTAACGTGTGTCCCTCTTCCCCAGAGCGCGTAGGTGGGTGGGTTTTGCAGCCGGAGTATGAGCACCTAAGGCTGTTGGCTGTAAGAACTGGGGGACACCTCCTACTCATGGGTCTCTATCACAGGTGGCTAGGTGGTGTGGGTGGAGCCACCTGTCCTCAAGCCCCTGATATGGGTAGGTGAAGACCCTGCTTAATGGGCAAAGCAGTGTCAAATGTCAAGAACCTGCCACTTCACAGCTGAAATAGTTGAAGTTAGAGTTCCAGTATATACCCTGTTGTACTGCAGTAATGAGGCCTACACTACTGAAATGGGCCCACACAAGTCTATGCAGAGGGAAAGGCACTCCAAGTCCATGGATTCCTTATGCCCGTGCCTAGGCAAAGGAGCTGTGCCTACCCTGGGTTTCCGGCTTAGGGGAGCCAGCAGTTTATTTTTTTGTTTGTTAATTTGTTCACTCTCCAAGGCAGGGAGAATGGCTTCGGGCATGTGACAGATCCTACTTCCGACCCAGGGGACTCAGCAATTGCTGAAGGTGGTATGGGACCCAGTGCAGAGCAGGGAGCGGGAGATAAACGGGAGAGAGGTTTTTCCCTAACAGGGGTGTTTCTGACCCGAGCGGTACGCCGCAGGCAAGTACTTATCTTTTGCAGACACCGGGCTGCTTCTCACTGGTTCTCGGTGGCCATGTAGACTCTGGTGCTGGATCTCTCCCGGTGCAGAAAACGTATCTCCAGAGCACCGCTGCTTGCTTGCCTCACCGCTCACCCGAGCTGATGAGACCCGAAGGGCTCAGGCTCTCTCTGGGTCAGGTCTGGCAACTCCTCGCTGCTTCTGAACTGTCTCTCCCTCCCCCTGCCACTCAGTCCGGTCCCTCAACTCTGCCTTTGATGGTGAGGGCTCTCAGATTGCCATATATAAACGATTCACTTGTTTTTTTGGGTCTTTGTTATATGAAGGTCCACCGGAAGCATCTGACTACTCCGCCGTCTTGGCCCCATCTCAAATCAGTTTAAATGTCCTTTAAAAAGTACATGTGCACAAACGTTTTGGTATATATATTTTCACCCCAATCAAAAATAAAAGTACATGTAAATGAGAAACTATTTTGTTCTGTAAGCCTTCATTTAAAGTGAGAAGAGCAGCACAATTGGAAGAGCATAATTGATGTCACTGAACTGTGCATGCAGAAATTTTTGAAATGGTGTATCTTTGGCTATGTATAGTTTCACCAAAAAAAAAAAAAAAGTTCGAGAAGGGAGAGGGTTGACATGTTGTGGGGTTGTTAACCAATGTCATAAAACAATATGTGTACTACCGTTTCATGAGAAACTATTTGTTCTGTAAGCCTTCACCTGAAGTACAATTAAAAAAATAAATAAAAGTACATGTGCAGTCACAACTGTTCACCAAGATTTTAATTTTTCCTCTAGTTATTCTTTCAACTTCTTGGTTATCTTATTCTTGAGACTGTATATGCGTCACTGAAGTTCCATCTGAATTACAATCTTCAGTCACCAATCCTCTTTCCCTACGCGAAAACATGAGTTCTTGACTTACCACAACTCGATATGTCCCAAATTATTCACTCATTTAAAACCTTCCACCTAAAGCTGTTTTTTTTTTTATTTTCAAAGATATTATTCATTTCTTTGATGTTTCCCTAAAATAATTATAACTAAATAGTATAATGCTTTCCAATTTGTCAAATGTTTTGTCAAGTTTTTCATTTAATTCTTATAGCCTGTGAAAAACGTCTGCTGTTGTCAGGTGCTGTCAAGTCGATTTTAACTCAAAGTGACCCCACATGACAGAGTAGAACTGTCCCACAGGGTTTTGCAGTAATCTTTACAGGAGCAGATTGCCAGGTCTTTCTCCCGCGAAGCTGCAACCATTCGGTCAGCAGCCAAGCAGTAAACCTTTGCACCACCAGGGTTCCTTATTTTACAGGTAAGGGAAAAGAAATGGAGAACTTAACTACCTTGTCCAATTCATACAGCCAACCTGTTACAAAGCAAGTTAGCAGCCAACCGGACTTCCAACCTAGTCTTTTAACTCCAAACACTATGCTCTTCTCACTCACTTAAGGGAAAGTCTACAGTTCTGTCCCAAACCACCTTTGCTTCAAAGAGCAAACCATCTTCAAACAATCTCTCTAGATTGCAACCAGATCTCCTACCACACCTGCAATCATCTCATTGCTTGCTTCCTCACACTCCAGCCACTGCTCCCCTCCACTATACAATATCCACTCACATGGTTACAATCATTCCTTCAACCCCTCCTGCAAATATTCCACCTTGTATGCCCAAAGGAGGCCTCGCACCTCCCTTTCCCCAAACCTTGGCACATCCTTCTCAGGATATGCATGCTCTCACTCCATACGCTAGAGCACGCTTCTCAGTTCTTAAGGAGCTACTTAAGTTTAAAACTCCCGCAAAAGGGGACATAACTTGCAGATCCTCCATCTCCACACTTGGCCACTTCAAATTCTGAAGAACAGAGTACCAATGCTACCCATGCTCCCCTGTCACCAACAACTTCTTTTCCAGAGTCTGGTTATCCAAACAGGCTCCTCTTCCAACCGCTTCACCAGTGACTCCTTTCCATGGTTCCCAAGACTCACCTCCTCCGCAGTTTTCCTTCCCTCCCTCCTGAGTCTCTGTTCCTCTTACCAACTCTTCCTTTGCTCCCCATCCCAGAGTGAAGCAGCAGCCCCACGGAAGAGGTGGCTCCTCCTCTTTCCCAAGTTCCAAGTTCTGCCTCTTTATCACCTGTTCTCACCAGAGCTTCCTCTCGGCCCCGTGGCCCACCTTCGCCCCGGCCCGCCTCTCTCAGTCCTTGCAATTCCTCCAGGCCAGGAGCCACCCCCACAAATCAGTTCCGGTATGCCCGTCGAATTCGACTTCCCATCCGAGGGATTCCCACCCCCAGGGTCACGCTCCCCTTCTCCATCACCTGCTCCGCCCATGGCCAGATGACATCCGCCGCCGCCGCCTCCTTCTCCAACCCCCTTCTCGGACTCCGGGTCCTCGGCCGCTCACCGCAGTCCCTGAGCCTCCGGGGTGAAGGGGGCGTGCACCCCCAACCCGCAGCACCCCCAGCACGCACCTGTTCCTCCTCCTCCTCCCCTTCCCCCCGGCCGGCCGCGCCGGCGCTCGGCCCCCTCCCTCGTCAGCGCTCGGCCTCCCGAAGCCCCGCACTCACCAGGAGTAGGTCTGCTCCGCCATGGCGCTGACTCTCCCGGGTTCTGCTGCAGGTTGGGCCGGGCCCGGCGGCGGCGGGTGGACGGACGGACGGCGG